ATCGAGCGATTTATCGCAGGATATTTATTTGCAATTGTAATAAACTACGCTAGCGACGCAGGATCGAATGCGGAAAATTTTACGCTGTGCGAAAAACGAAATTGCCGGTCCTAGCACGTAGCGTTAATCTGGAAGATCTAGACAGCGGGAAGCGTTCAAGCGACCATGCCTTCTAAGTGTTAGTTATTCACTTCGCGTGAAGGTAAAAATCCCTCATCAGACAGTTGAGATCTTAAAGCATCATGATGCACTTACTTAATTGCTTTTTAGTGCGCAATGAATCATAAGGAGGTATGAAATACAGAGGAGACACTCGCTGTTAATTAATATTTGAAAGATAAATTCATCTCTATACGCTGCGTCATCATCCTTCTGTCCTTATCCCACCTATGTGGGATCAACACAACATGTGAATCATGTTGTAAGCGGTTGTCGCTATACTTTTAACGATCGGCTGCCTGGCCAGCGTCAATCCTCCTTGTGAAATAAACGCCCAGATCCTGAACAACTATCTGTGAGTCACACAAATACTTGACCCGTGTGGGAATCGATCCCATGACCCCCGACGCCGAAACTAATAGCTTAGCAACGTCGCCACCGAGTCATCAGGCTGTGTCATCAATGCTATTTATGATATCATTGAGGCTGTGTCACCGATGATATCATAAATGGCATTTATCGCAATCGAGTGAATATAATAATCTTTCATAAATTAAAGATAAAAGAACCCTGTATTCATACGCCATTCACGCGCGAGGCAAAAGCGGACCCATCGAACAATACCGAACCCTGAAAAGGAGACGACAACGCGCGTCGCGCCAAGTTAAGTCGGCGTTGCCGGGCCGAGTAATTTGTTATAAGCAATTCCAGAAAAAAACGGCGCTCCGGCGGCGATCAGCGGGCGGGTAATTATAAATCAATACGCTATTTTTCCATCGACGAGACGCACCGTATACAGAGGGATGGGAAGTCACTTTACGAGAACCGACATCCAACTTTTCTCCATCAGAAAACGAGCAGTACTAGGAAATTTTAATAGCTGCGATGGTGATAAGGTAATAATGGGTCTTATGCGAGAGATTTTGAGTGCTATTCCCCCACGGGGAATTTGTATGAATGATCGTTGTTCCTTCATCGTTCCTGGTTCTCTTTCTTGGTACAATTTATGCATGTCTCCATAAAACACAGGAAAATTTGTAAGCTGTCAGCAGTGACAGGAAACCGGAAAATCGAACAAACGCAGAAATATTTTCATTTGTAATACCAGTAATATTGAAGAGGCTTAAATACTTTACACTTATCATACAACTAGAGCGTCAACGGAATTCTCAAAGATTCCAATCAAAATACACAAACAAATCAGAAACAAATAACAATTTGAGTTTAAACCTAAACACCGAAAGGTTTCGATCAGAACTGTAACAGGGAACAATGTTAAAGGTTCACCGAGATCCTAAGCTCGCTCGAGACTTGAAGACACCCTGTAGCGTTTAGAAATGGTAATAAATTCCGAACGCGATGCACTACGCTCACAAATGGAGCAAAACGGCTAAACAAATTGCTGCGACAGCAGCCCTGAGATAGTCCACTTTTTGCACTAATTCGGCATACCGAAATAAAAATTCCGACTCCTTACGCGGTGGGCAAAAACAGTATCGTTTCTGGACGCGGCGACAGAGGCCTCTTCGGCGAACGCGTTCGGTGAGTGATTTCAAAAATGGAACGCAAAAAGTTGAGCTCTGAAAGCGAGCCGCGCTGCTGTGTGTGCGAGCGAGCGCGAGCTATTGTCGACGCGGGCAAAAAACTGTTCAACACATTTATTGGCCTGATCTGAACTGTCATTTTATCGTACTAAACTGCCGATGTGATGAGTAAATTATATAATCTTAGATCTTATTTATCTTAGAGGTCTATGTTTGTTAAACTGTTTCATTATATGCCTCCTTTTGTTATGAAAAATCAAAATCATTTATTCATCGACATAAGACACTTACATTTAATCTACCGGTAGTCATATATATTTTTTTAAATCTACCACCGCAATCACCGCATTTAGCAGGGGTCCATCGAAATAGAGAACATTCATGCGACAAGATAAGCATTTGAATTATTCTTAAGCAAATGTTGTAATTTTAATAGAAACTTTAAAATTGCTTATGTATATATTTAAAATTTTAAATATATCATCATCAATAAATATCCTCGAATCGATTGCAAGCAATTATATTAGTGGTACACCATTTCACACGTTTTTCTTAATTTCACTATTAATTATTGAGTATATACTTGTATCAGGGGGAAGTATGAGTTTACATATGATATAACAATACTTATTTCTGATATATTTTAATTTATTTATACTTTTTGAACACAAAATATGTACATAGGCGGACTTAATGCCATCACCATTATCTACCGGTCAACCTTTAGGTGGTCTAGAAGTTTAAGTAGGTGGATTAATTGTGATATTCTTCGTACATGTTCAATGGTGCAGTTGCTACGCTATTGGCCTCGGTACCAGAAGTCGTGGATGCGAAGCTTGTACATGACAAGAGTAACCCACATATAGTTTTAGATCTGGGTGTTTTGTTCCCAAGGAGAGTTGACGTGAAACAAATGGATGGTCGTAAACACGTAGCTAACACTGCTAACATGATTCACGTGTCGTGCCAAACCCACCTAAGAGAGAAAGGGCCATATAATCTAGTCCAGTTTAATGCCAACCCCATCTAAGAGAAAAACGCCAATATAATCTAGTCCAGTTTAATGCGAATTAATTGAACGTACAGAGCGCACACAATCCCGACCGATGAGATCACAATTTATTACCACCGAAACCGGGTTCCCTTGACCGCAATCCTCCGCCATCTAAACACCGGTGCCCACGTAGATAGCGTTGCCGATTTAGATAGCGCCCGCCATCACCCGCGGAGATAATCGCTCGGCCAACAAATCGTAAAGCTGACCTCATGACCCCGCGCTGGCAACCCCATCGGGCGAGGCCCGGTGACCCGTTTGCTGGAAATGTCGCCGCGCCATGGACGGGGAGATTAATGGGCGCTTTCTTCGTATCAGAATGAGTTAGCGCTCGACGGAAGACGCGCATAGTATATATTGCGACATTTATGCTTTTTTCATGAAATAATTTGGCGGTTCAAATATAACGATTACGAATAGAGAACTGTGCGGGAATTTGCAGATGGCGCGCACAAGGTATCGCGTCATTTAATGCTACAATACAAATAGTCTTTTAGAATTTGTCTAGACGACTTATGGTTTACAACAAGCTTATTTTAAGGCTATACTTGACAGGACTTCTACCGGTGGACAACACTCAGTGCAAGCTTGAGGCAGTAGTGTCCACGTAATTAATTTCGAAAAACACTGGGATTTATAAGTCAAATCAAGGCCGACATCACAGTCATTTGGCAATCACTGACTAGCTGTCAATGTTCCTAAATATAATATATATTCTTAAATATAACTAAACATCCTCAGCTCAAATTAGTATAGCTTCGAACAATGGGCACAGCTATGAGCACACAAATGACACAGTATATCTTTTACCAGCCGGCAAACGATGGGTGTAACAGGAAGGGTGTAGCGCCGACAACCGCCCCGTAAACTTTATAGGTCACTATAACAGAGTTTATGGGGTCGACGGATAGACTGCTTACATAATAACGTCCATCGTCAGTATATCCTATGTTACTAATAAACTTAGTAACTTTTTAACAATCTAGTTCTTTGGCTATGATTAATAAATTCCTATAATTAAAGTAAATTACAATGCTTCTGGGAATTTATTAAAATAATTGAAGCCATATCTTCCCTTATTACGATAAAATACCTGTACAGATATTTATGTAATTTAATGAGACGGTTGAAGTAAAAGGTTTCATATTATGTCACACTTCGAAGCACAGGTTCAGATTTTATACAGTTAATAGAGCATTGCTCTATATACGATCCCATCGCAGGTGATGTCCATCGTCTATCATCTAAAATTTTATACATATTTTTTCAATATGAAAGTAAAAACTCCTGCTGAAACTATTTTTACGCTTCAAGTCTTTAAAACTTGATTTTTCAAACCAAAACACATCTCGAATACCTTTCTTTAAATACCAAGGTTCAGTCGTGTTGACTAGTGCGGCCATAACTTGATTAAATAAATCGGTAGACTTTCAATTTTGGCCGGGCAACAATGATTTCACAGTAATATGTGTCTTGTTCTTACGTCCAACGAAATTCATAAATGCCCACGAACGAGCATCAGTCGTGACTCAAAAATAAAAATGGCGCGCGCCGCTTTCACTCGTAAACTTTTTTAAGTGAGTTATGCGCAAGCACTCCTGCAGACAATTCAGCGGAAGCCTCCCACAATTGGGCAGCTCCAACCAGTTTGGCGATGTAAGGAAACTGCTAGACAGCTTATCTAACCTAATCCAAACAACATCTCGTTTAAATGTCCACAGAACACCATCATGTGCAAAAAAATGTTGATTCTTATAAAAATATTGAGGTCTATATACCTAAATTTGTAAAGTGGGAAATTTTTTACTTGAAGTAATGGAAAATTAAGCAGCAAATTTAAATGCAATAGCGACAAGGTAACCAGCAAGCATTTTATAATTACAAACTTGAAAAACTTTTGAAAAGTTAATATGAATTGCATTTTGTCATCCGGAAACAATAAATAACAACATTTACGTATTACGTTGCGTTTAAAAATTTCGAGAAAATTTTAAAATTTTGCGTAAGTTCATATAAAAAAATACGAAGAGCACAGACATTTTGACTTATAGCTCTATTTTACCTGTCTCTATATAGAGACATGTTTAGACAACGAGAGTATTAAATGTGCCAAAGTCCGAAGCCGTATCGCTATGATATTGTTAACCGTAATAAATAGAATACAAAAGGTATGAAATATGAGAATGATATAAATAAGAAGACAAAATATAAATAAAACAGTAAAACTTTTAATTAGCACTTACCACAATGGGCCCGTTACGCCCTGTGCTGGTAAGTGTAGCTCCGAACCACTGGTTCGACTTCTGGTCGATTTGCCTCTGCTGAGTGTCCACGTTATTGCCTGAGAAGAAGAAAATCGACAATTTAATATTTACAATCATTTTGTGAATGCATCTAAAGGCCCATTTACACGATGCCATTTTCTTGTACATACAAGAGCAATAATTGAATGCAATAAGTTGCACGCAATAATTGACCATCAAGAATTGTAAGCAACAGTTTACACGCAGATATAGTAAAAAAAATTGAATGCGATTATTGTATGCAAGTCTTGACAGGAAATAATTGCAAAGGTCTTTTGTTTACACCAATGCAATTATGTTTAGGCGATTATTGCTTTCAAGTTTTGACTTGTCTAAACACATGCTTGTATGTGTGTGTACAATTTATTGGCGTTTTGCTTCAAGTATTGCACGTATTTGCGTTGACAAATTTTTCATGCAAGTGTTGAACGTTTTACAAAGGGCTGTTTTTTAAAAGAAATGGCTCAATAATAAGTGTTCAAGTTAGATTATGCCGATTAAATATATTTCATTGAGATTTATTGCAACTCATTTATTGCTTCAATTTAATTGTATATAACAGGCAAGAAACTTGCACCGTGTAAATGGGCCTTAACGCTAAAATATACGCTTTTAGAACTCCCGCAGGCATTCATAGTGTTTTGTTCTATACAAGAGTTTTCTAAAGATTTATTGGATACAACTACATTATTTAGAACCTACAAAGGCTTATAGCTAGTTACACGATACCGTTACATGAACTTAGCAGTCGGTAATAACTTAATAATGAAGTGCATTTATCTTAAGCAACATCCCTGAATTCAATTTCGTTAGCTTACAATCCGCGCGCATGATGTATGCCCATTTTAATTGGGTTATTGTTTTCCATTAACCGTGGAGACGTCATTTTGGAATTTTTAATATTATAGAAATTGTAATGAATGCAGCTGCTTGTATTTTTACAAGAGGTTTTCCTTTACATTGTATTAGGTTGTGTCGCCAACGTGAGTCATTTTAGTGACTTATTAATATTTTTAATTTGATATTGACCTGTAACTTCCTTCGTGCGACTTTGGAACGGAAAGACACATTTTGAGACGAGAAAAGTATTTTTAAATTTTTCCATTTGAACTTACTAAACTCTAGTACAATTTAAGTATGTACAATTGGTAAACGTAAATAGATGAATTTTGTAACAAAGATCGACTCACGTCGACAGCACAGTGACGACATAAATCCCGAAGAGTTAAGAATATATCACAATGCAATTGGATGACGTGTGATTATGGACACGCGGCGCGGGCGTGTCCACCGCACTCTATCGCCCCGATCGGGAACGAGCGCTATCTATACCGCATCGAAACTGAAAAAACATTGAAACACGCAATTAATCTTTGGACGGAGGCGGTGATTATTTTTAATTATTCGGTGTTCGCGAATGAGTTATCGCAACGCGTCCCGTTCGGGGTATTAAATATAGTTAATTCCGACTGCCGAGTTAACGCGGCTTGATTGATGCCCGCGAGAGCATTGATTATGGACTCCCGTCGCAACAGTTCGTCTATAATCTATTAGTCTCATTTTGCTTCCTAAAATCAGATGCCCGTGCAATGTGTATGAATAATTACGTCTCGTCGCTCCGGATATAAAGGCGAAGTTTTAAACGCTCGTAAGGTACAATCGCTAACAACAAATTCAAAACATCCTGAAAATTAATACATAAATTATCGGCATAAAAATTTTATGGTCTTTCTTTTTTCATGGGAAGTTGTGTTTTATTTTACTAAAGCCAGCTGTTGCATATTCTTCACCTAATTATTTATTGAACCCACACTGCTTTATAAAATGTATCGTCAAAACGTTAACACTAGAAACAGTGGGAATGTTAATTCAAAATTGTAAGCACTAATTAATTACAAGGATACTTAATAACGGGCTAACTAAATAACTAACTTGATTTTAACTGTGGTAGAGCCATAAAACAGTCTTCACTGTTGCCCGAATTGACAGGTCCAATCGAGTAGGTCCCATGACCTCGCAGAGGACCGGCATGAAGTGTTATACTTCTGCGTTTCCCGTAAGGTGGTAAATCATCCGCCAACTTACGGGTGTTGAAAATGTCAATGGGCATCGGTTATCACTCGCCATCGGGTTCCCAATTCGCTTGGCATCTTTTCAAATAAAAAAAAAATACCATTGCCAGTTTTTTGAGCGTATAGCGACCATTAATATCAAAATAGAAGTAGACATTATTTTTTTAATGTGACACGATTACAATACTAATTATCAGAAGAAATATTAGCCGCAATGACCTTTAGGATTTGTCATGGTACATCAATATAGGGCTAATGACTACAGCCCCTTCCCTCAGTCGACACGCCGCACCCTTGCGGAGGTCTAATCGGACTGAGGTTCAGCTTTTATACTGATTGTGTACAGTCGGACACACAACCCACTTCACTACATTTTAGCTGACTATAAAAATTACATTATTTCGTGTATTTTCTTTAAATTCAATTTTAAGTCTTCTTTCAGAAGTACTTAATTTCTTTTTCATTTCTTTACTTTTTCGATTTGTATTATGAATCAGGTTTTATATATAAAAACGATAAAAACTGTAAGCAAAAATTATAAGCTTACCGACAAATAAATCTGTCTAAAACATCAAACAGAATCGTAGTAAACAAAATCGGGCTATAATGTGTCTTTGGGGAAGCCCAGGCTAGCATTGAGCTGTAAACTAAACGTGATGATAATGAGGGTTTATAGGTAGCATAAAAATAACTGTGGCAGGGCCACGAAACAGTTTTCATCTGTTGCACGAATGGGCAGGTCCGTCCTGGTAAATACCACGACCTCTCAGAAGACCGGCGTAAAGTAGAGGTGTTACCCTTCTGTGTTTCGTCTGATGAGTGAGTTAGCCGGGGCCCACATTATTTAATGCGCAAATGACCATGGGTGGCGGTTATTACTTAACATCAGGTGAACCACCAGCTCATTTACCACTATTTCACATTAAAAAAAATGAAACACTTTTCAACGCGAAATTACAGCCCAATGATATGTCCGCCTATTAGCCACTGAATGTCGCGGTGGCTTATGGTCTTATTTTATTCCTTTACGCGTTAGGCGGTCGCCTAATGGCCCCGGACACTTACATATCGTCTGGACATTAGGCGCGCTCATATGACTCACGGGCGAAACACGCCCGCGACCTGAGATCGCTGCTCACACGACTTTCTTTTGACAAGCGTTATTACTCATAAAGGAGTATACGCACCGCTCGGATGCTGTTGTTCGCCCATTGAACGCTCGTGAGCGTCTCTTATAAACGAGACGAAACTAAATGCCCGACGCCGATCCATTAGCACAGATCGCAGCGACAGAAATGTTTAAAGGGCGCGCTTTCAACGCTTCGTTATTTGCGGATTTGATATGACAATCAAATCCGCAAATAACGAAGTGATAACGCATCATTGCAGAATTATTCCCGAGATAATTATTCATAGTCTAACATATAATCGTGATTCCGCTTTTCACAAAACTGACGAAGCCTAAAATTCGCCCGACATCTAATTGTGTGATGAACATAGTGTTTTTCTAGTTTCACGGTGATTATATATCTATAATGTATATTTATTTACAAAAAAGTATTCTGAAGTATCTATGTTTATCAGTTAATTATTTTCCATAGTACATGCTTTGCTGAATTTGGAACTAGATAATTAGTGTTAATATATTCTGAAATAGTGGGACGTGGGGTATTGAGTCCGTCAATTGGTCACCTCAGTTGAAAGTCTCAAGTCTTGCAGTCTACATACTTATACGTCTACATACGTATTACACATATACTTTTTATTCAAACAAGCTTCTCTGCTGATCTATTCAATCGTGTCATATTCAATCTGACAGTCTTTATCAATTAACCTTTAGTCTTGTCAGCGTTTAAGGTCGGAGATGGTGACGTCCATAAATGTTTCGTATTTATTGTGCATTCTACGGCTACAAACGTACCGCGTATATCATCTCCGATTTGTGAAAAACGGTTTGCACTAATTACTGTTGATTGAAGGATTATAAAAAGTTTGAGAGTCTCCTGTACTTTAACTGTTCAGTATAGTGACGTCAATTAGTAAATGGCCTGGCCAAAAATTAAAAAAACACAACACGCATCGTTGTAATTCAAAAAGATCCCGCCATCGCCCGCCTCCTGTTTGTTCTCTCACGTGTGTGCCACCAGAAAGAGCTTCGAGTTGATTTTTATCTCTGCCGATACCCTTAATGGCGTACCAAATACGGCGCGGTGATACCATCCCGTGGAGCCAAATTATAGCTTGTTTTATTGTTCGCCGTAATGTGGCCGTAGGAGCGACATTAAAAAAAAAGTTTACAATGGGCTTTTCTGTTGAACGGTAACCACAGGCTGTTGCTTTTATCAACTTTTGGATGTTTAATAATAATTCGAGAAGCAAACAACATAATTTCACTATAGAAGGACCAGACAGCTTTAATGTTGCACAAACAGACAAGTTCGTCCGGAAAAATATCATGACCTCACTAGAACTTGAAGTGGAAGTATATATTTTTTTCGTTTTGTCCGATAAGTGCGGTAGTCGGGGTCTATCTCATCTACAACCGCAGCGGTACATACTGTGGGTAGCGGGCGGTGACCAAAAAAATCATGCAATCACGCCAATTCACTACTGCCTTATGAAAGCAAGTTCAAGCAAACCCTTCGTTTAAATTTTATAGGATAAATGGTAGGGCTACGCCTCAGCTTCTGCTCTGGCACGAATGGGCAGGTACGTCCGGAGCTACCACGGCCTCACAAAGACCGGCGTGAATTGAAGGTACATAATTTCGCGTTTCGTCTGGTGAGTGAGATAGCCGGAGCCCAATTTCCAAAAAGGTTGTCAACGCTTCTGCAAACCCTCGGGTGTAGCAGATGTCTATGGGCGGCGGTATTCACTTAACATCAGGTGAACCGTCTGCTCGTTTGGCAACTTGTCACATAAAAAAAATCCGTGGCATACAATTTTAATGGTTGACAACCTCTGCA